ACTACCGCCCTCGACCGCCACTACGCTGACCTTTCTCGTCAGCGTCGTGCTCAATCCCCCCCCGGCGCCTCACGTCCCCGCGGCGCCTCCTAGCCACGGTGCAGTGTACACCTGCGCCCTCCTCAGTAGTGGGCTTCCCGACATCTCCGTCGCGGTTCGCTCCTCTCACTACTGGAGTTGAGGTGTCGCAGGACTCGACAGAGTGTACTCAGCCCTTTGTCGCAGTACCGTCTGCGTCTCCGCAGACCACCGTCTCCCCTCCTTCCCCGCCGCGACTACCGACGCGTCGAGCCATTCGCTCAGCCCGTTGCAGCGAGCAGCTTGCTACTCGCGAGGACGTTGTGTCCTCTCTTCTGGACTTTAGCATGCTTCAGGCTCGTCAGGAGCGACTCACCCTCCATGTCGCTGCATTGCGTCGCCTTCTTGCCATCCACTCTGACCCTGATCGCACCCTCCCGATCATCCCAGTACGACTCGGGACCTCCACGAGGGTGTACTCAGTGCTGTGGGATTCTGGTTCTCAGGGCGACTTCATTCACCCACGCGTGGTGAAGGAAGCCTGCTTACCCACGACAGGGTCTCCGACTCCCATCTCCGTTACCCTAGGGGATGACAAGACCCAGCGCTTCTTCGATCAGACGGTCACCGACCTCCCCTTCTTTCTCACTCTCGAGCCGACTAATCGTTCCCCGGCGTCTCGTCGCCACCGCTCCTCTGCACATTTTGATGTGATGGAGACGGGGTACGACTTCATTCTCAGCACTCCGTGGTCTCGTCGGTTCCGCAGCACCGAGGCCGATTGGGCGACCAACACTCTCGTTCTCAAAACGAAGTGTGGACAGACGTATCGCGTACCTTTCATAGGTACCACGGCGATATCACGCCCCGATCCTCCTCCCCCGGAGCCGTCAGTGCCCACACCATCCCCCTCTATCACTGTCACCTCGCCTCGGCAGTTCGCTCACTTCATTCAACAGGACGACGTCACCTTCTTTATGGTGGATGTGACGGATCTCTTACACTATGATCCACCCTGTCCCGACGCCGAGCTCATCCCTCTGGAGCCAGATCCTCCCTCTATCTCCATGGCTCCCATCTCTACTTCCGTCCCTCCGCCGTCCGTCGAGTCCACCCCGCCGTCAGGCGCTGACGCTGACGCTGAGGAACTCGCACGATATACGGCTGACCTGGAGCCCGCAGTTCGTGACCTCATCCGAGAGTACCGCAACGTTTTCCCATCGTCGTTCTCGTACGCCAGCATCCCACCGATGCGTGACATCGAGCACTCCATTCAGCTTGTGCCTGACTATCGTGTTCACCACCAGGCACCCTACCGACTCTCGATTCCCGAGGCCACCGAACTCAAGCGTCAGCTTGAGGAGCTCTTGAGACTGGGTTTCATTAAACCCAGCAACTCCCCGTGGGGTGCACCCGTCCTCTTTGCTCGCAAAGCGGATGAAACTTTCCATCTCTGCATCGACTATCGCGGTCTCAACCGCTACACGGTTAAGAACAGCTACCCCATGCCTCGTTCCGATGAGCTGTTCGACCGCCTAGCAGGCAACCGCTTCTTTATGAAGATTGATCTTCGTAGCGGTTACCATCAGATCCGCGTCGCTGCAGCTGACCAGCCGAAGACAGCGTTCCGATCGCGCTTCGGCCACCACGAGTTTACGGTGATGCCATTCGGCCTCACCAATGCACCCGCCACCTTCCAGAGGGCGATGAACGACATCTTCAGGGACATCCTGGAGCAGTACGTTCTCGTCTACCTCGACGATTTCCTGGTCTACAGTCGTACCCTTGAGAAGCACCTCAGACACCTCCGCGACGTCCTTGACCGCTTGTGCAGACATGGCTTCTACGCCAAGCTGAGCAAGTGCCGCTTTGCCCAGCACAAAGTGGATTTCTTAGGACACTACGTGTCTGACCAGGGTCTCCACATGGACGACGCGAAGATCACTGCTATTGTGGAGTGGCCCGCCCCCACATTCGCCAAGCAGCTTCGCAACTTCCTTGGCCTAACCAGCTACTATAGTAATTTCATCCGGGGATACGCTAGGTATTCCTACGTCCTTACCTCCACCCTCCTCCGGAAGAACCCACCCTGGGCTTGGACACCCCTCCACGAGGACGCCTTCCGCGCCCTCAAGAAGGCGGTGACATGCGCACCGGTTCTTCACCTACCCGATTTCGATCGCCCTTTTATCCTTACCACCGATGCGTCAGACTTTGCTGTAGGAGCAGTGCTTTCTCAGGTCTTCCCCTCCTCTCCTGATTCCTCCCATCCTCGTATCCCTTGCTTCCCACCACCTACCCCTACCACTGCTTCCCGACTGATGCCTACTTGTCCAACTACTGACGAACCCTCTATTGACTATTCTCCTACCATCACCGAGGACGGCACTGTCGAGTCTCGCTCAAGTGATTGTCTGATAGCCTTCTACTCCCGTCAGCTCCTGCCCGCCGAGATAAACTACACTGCTGATGAACGTGAGTTTCTCGCAATAGTTTATGCCGCTCGACACTGGCGTCACTACCTGCACGGGGCACTATTCACGGTGCGCACGGACAACTCTGTTGTCCAGGCTTTTCTGACAAAGCCGAAGTTCACTGCTCGACAGGCTCGCTGGTGGCGCGACCTATCCGAGTTTAGTTTCACCACTGAGCACATCAAGGGTGAGACTAATCGGGTCGCAGATGCCCTATCCCGGCGCCCTGACCACGACCAGGAGCACATCCAACGCTCTTCCATCTCGGTCACCACCGTCCACCACTCGGTGATCGACGAGTTTCGCAYTCAGTACCGCCACTGCCCCGACTATCGCGACATCCACGTGACYCTTCGGAGTGGAAAGACCGTCCCGAACTACTCTCTCGGGGACAACGGTCTTGTGTACTGGCACGGTTCACAGGACACCAGAGAGCCCCGTATTTGCGTTCCCTCCACTGGACAGCTACGTGTCCGAGCAGTAGCAGAGTTCCATGACCAGGCAGCTGCCAGTCATAAGGGCTTCCACAAGACGTTGGCTCGTGTGAGCCGCCTGTACGTCTGGCCGAAGCGCAAGGACTTTGTGAAGGATTACGTCATAGAGTGTCCGACCTGTTAGGAGATGAACAGTGCGAACCACTTGCCTTATGGTTTGCTCCAGCCTCTTCCTATCCCTGAGGGTCGTTGGCAGTCCATCTCAATGGACTTTATCGGTCGTCTTCGTCCTCCGACCCCTCGCGGTCATGATGCTATCCTGGTCGTCGTCGACCGCTTCACGAAGCGTGCACGCTTTGTTCCGTGCTGCTATGCCATCAGTGCACGTGAGGTCACCGACATCGTGTTCGACCAAGTTGTGCGTGACCACGGCTTACCTCTGAGCATCATATCTGACCGTGACCCGCGCTTTACCAGCCGATTCTGGCGACGACTTCACGAGGTATACGGCACTCAGCTCCGCTTCTCCTCGTCTTACCATCCTCAGACTGATGGTCAAACCGAGATCACGAACAGGACTCTCGGAGATATTCTTCRAAAGATTGTTCGTGACGACCAGCAGTGGGATCTTCATCTTGCCCACGCGGAGATAGCCTACAACCACGCCGTCTCGCCAGCCACGGGGATGTCGCCTTACTATTGCGACCTCGGTTATTACCCTCGTGTTCCCGCGGAGCTCCTTCGACCGTCCCAGATGCACCCTGACACGAGTTGTCCCGCGCTGGATGATTGGGTTGCACACATGACGTCGATTATGAAGACCGCACATGAGCACATAGCCGCTTCCCAGACTCGCATGGCACGTGCGAACCGATCGAGAATGGATCATCCATTCAAAGTCGGTGATGATGTGCTTATCGACGCCCGCCACTTACAGCTCGAAGCGGACACGCTTCGCAAGTTTCGGCGTCGCTTCTTTGACCCATGCCGCATCCTCCAGGCCGTCGGTTCTGATACGGCATTTAGCCCGGTCAGCTTTCGTGTGCAGCTGCCCGACTACCTACACCAGGCTCGTGTGCATGATGTCTACCACGTCTCATTACTGCGTCCTTACCGCAGACCGTCGGAGCGTTTCGCTGGACGACCATACGAGCGCCCTCCACCCATCATGGTGGACGGTTACGAGGAGTTCCTCGTTTCAGACATCATTGGTCGCCGAGTCACCGACGACAACCCTCCCCACGTCGAGTATCTCGTACGTTGGAAGGGTTACCCTGATGAGGAGGCTACCTGGGAGCCCCTCGAGCACTTGCAGCACGCTCGYATGTTGGTGCGTGCCTATGACCGTGCTCGTCGTGCTGGGTTCACTGCTCCTCCTCAACCCACAGACCCTCCTCCTTCTCCTCCGGCTGAGGAGACCGCTGAAGTTGAGCCTGCTCCATCTGAGGCAGACCTTCAGCAGCAGCCGGATGCTTCTGAGCGTCCACAGCGCACTCGTCGYCGTCCTGCTCGATACGACGATTGACTCTGACTTACCTTTCCACGTCTTTGACTTCTCAATACTCCATCCACATCAGTTTTGCTACTTCAGCTTGTCGACGTTGCGGCTCTTCCTCGACGGCATTCCGGACTTCTCATCATGGACGTCATCGGGAGCTCCATGGACTTCATCACGATCATCTCTGCCTACTTCAGACGTCGCCACTCTCTTACCACTCTACCCTGTACAGTACCCTGCTTGTGTCGCATGATGGTCTCCCTTTAGCCGGGTTCCTCTGAGTTGGGCTCTCCCTTGGTATACGCATAGGCATCGGGACCGTAACGTTGCCCTGGCTTCCCATCTTACGGATCTAGCTCCGACTTCCCTCACTTTAGGAGTCATTTGCATGATTCCCTCACCCATCATCTTTCTACCCTTCGCCGGCCCTCACGCCCTAGTTAGGCAGCCCCGCATGCTTCATCTAGGTGCGCCCAGTATACCAGGCACCCCTGTTCCTTTGCATGGTCGACCCTCCATATGGTCACCCCTTAGTCGAGCATTACCCGCCCTGATGGTCTATCTGTTAGGGTCACTGGTTCTGTTTGCTCTCAGTTCCCTATCCTCATTGAGCCTGATGACATGTGTCTCCCTGTTATCTATGTGTGGATGCCCTTAGGAGTTTCGACCCCTAGGCTGCATTCGCCACCCTCAGAGACCATCCCACCCTTTGGTTTGCGACACACTTCTCATGTGACATATGGTTGTCTTGTTGATTGCTTTGATGCTCTCAGACTGAGGCTACTGCCTCCGACATTTCTAGGATTTAGTTGTTCTGCTTTTGTTGTTCTTAGGACTTATACACTAGTCAGTTGTTACCA